CTGAATTCATTACATTACAACTATATTCGTCTTCAGGCTTAATACCTTAAAGAGCAGAATCTGCCGGATGAAATGAAAAGATACTCTTAGAGATTGGCTGAATGCTTTGAAGTAGAGGAGAAAATATTCTGCTAAGTGTGGAGATAAGCAGAGATGTAGTGCTGGTGTAGAATTGCCATTGGCCCTCCTATGGTGGCTATGTGAGCTAAATGCTGTCAACAGCTTTCTTCTGTTTTTCTGAATTCAGAGATAACTCAAATCCACAAACACCCAAGCTTCTCTGAGAAACTTTAACAGGCACTGGGGACTGCTGAATGGGCGCAGATTTTATTGCTCCAGCAAAGTCAGTCTGCTACCACCAGGCTCTAGGGAACTTGCCTCCACTTGGTGCCTTGGAATAAAAAGCTCCAAGTTTTTTTTGCTTGTTGGCTATGTGATTCTAGCAGGGTAAAATCTGGACAAATTTGCTAGGAGAAAAAGGCCCAGCTTGTACCTAATAGATTTTTGGGCTGTTAGAAGAAGTAGTAAGCCCTCCAAAGAGATCATTTCGCTATCTCAGGATACTGGCAAGCATCATATACACACAACTATTATTTCAGGCTATTCCTCCTTGCCACACTCAGTTTAACTGATTATTTAAAGCTGCTAAACTCCAAAATGTTGGGGCAGTTGCCCACTAGACAAGGAGCACTGCAGCTTAGCTGGCTCAAGGACATCAGATGCAATTGTTCCTTGCTCTTAATCCTCTCCCTTGATACCTCCTCTGAAATGTTAGTTCCATCTGATCCACAGAGTTGGTGTGGGACATTTTTCTTCTCTGTGGTGTGTCTGCTGTAAGCCTCTGAGCGATCATCCTGCCATGAAGGTTTCATGCCAGTCCCATCCAAGGAGCTCCCAGATGCATGTCGGGAAACAAGCCAAGCACAAGACTTGGCTTCCCTGCTCTCATTGTCATGGCAGCCTTGAGCCACAGTTGCTGTTCAAGGTTCTCTTCACTTGCTTCAGGAATTTACCTCAATGGTGGTTTTTTGCTGCTTCCCAACTTCTGTGCATTAATTTTCCTCTTTAGAAAATTGTAATTCTATCAGTAAGTTTTGTTCCCCCTCATTAAATTAGAAGGGAGGAGATAGATGACATCAGGGCTTGCTTAATGGACATTTAGCTTGGGTATGACCATATCACAGGTCCAAAGCCTGCCCTGACAGTGAAGGTCTTAAAGTCACATCTGTAACATAAATGATTCATGGCTGATGAATTTCATAGTACAGACCTTTAATATTGGAACCTAAATTTGTCAAAACCCATCATTTCCCTTTCGGTTGAACGTGTACAGCTGTTGCAAACTCTGCTGCTTGCTGGTACCAAAAAATACCACATTTTTCTTCTACAGTTTGAACGGGAAATAATTGTGGTTTCTCAGATGCCACTTGGAAGCAGTGAGTTTTTATAGCTGGCTGACTTTAATAACTGTAATTGCACATGCAGTCCTGCTCCAGCTGTGCACCGGGCACTGTGAGTCACTGTTCAAACCCATCCCTTGGGTTCAAACCACTCTTACAGGGATGATTCTAAAATACTCCTGAGGATCTTCTGATCCGTTATCCCTCTGGTCAGGGAGCTGTGTTGTGGCCGTTCTGGATGGTTTTCCTGGAGTTTGCAGAGGCATATCCTACACTGCAGGCTCCCAAGTCAGAGCTGGGAGCAGGGGAGCAGCAGCCAGGCCAGGGATGGGCATATATGGGGATCTCGTCGCAGAGAATAGCAGACAAAAGTGTGTAGGCCTCTGTGTTTGTCACCAGTGTCATCCTGGACCTTCTCCTGAGGGAACATGCTAGCCTGGGGACTTCCCTCCTCTGCTGTTCACCACCTTGTGCCTCTTTGCTCTGCTTCTTGTTGCTGTCACTTCAGCATTTTTCCTAGTAGGTTAATTTGCTATGAACATCAACCAAGAAATCCAGGAATTTGTCCACTTTGTTAGAAGAACCCACAGTTTAAATAGTCTTGTTTACATTTTTATAAATTCCTTTCCATCTGCAAAACTCAGATCAGTTCATTGAACAGCTCAGTTTTGCCTGGTGTGGCTGTAAAAAATAAAGAAACTGAAGCAGAAAAGTTACATTCATTTCCTCTTGTTGAGTGGCCTGTAAGAGAGCTGTGGGTAAGGAGTTTATTCACTTCCAGCTTTCTTTGCAGCAGCTTTTGCCATGCTGTAAATAAAGTTCAAATACTTAAATATTTTTAAAATTCTTTAAAAATAATTATAATAAATGCCTTCCTATTTCATACATTTCCTGCCCACATAGCATATTTACATATTACATGTAGCTGGAAGGTATAATTAGAGATCCCTGTTCAGCCACCTGACTCATAGCACCTTTAGCTTTCCACCATAAATAGGCATGTTCAGCTGAGACTGCTCGTGACGTGATGCCTCAGCCTGTGCACAGAAAGCGCCCTCTGCTATGGATCTTTAGGGTAAATTTCAAAATCAGACTTCTTTTCCACAGCAGAAGGCCATTTGAATGATTCCCAGGAGATGTTTGCACAGGCTTGGGCCCAGAGGCTGGCCCTCAGCCCACTGCTGGTTTCATCAGGTGGGGTGAAGGTTGCCTCCGAGTCAGAGCAGCCGTGAGACATCCTCTGAGTGAAGCACGGTGAGGCTCAGGGGATCTGTCTGTGGCAGCTTTGCTGGAGGCCAGCTGCTCCTGCTCTGCTCTGCTCTGCTCTGAGAGGTGCTTGGTGGCAAAGCACTGGGTCTGTGCAGATCAGCTGGCCATACTGAGAAATCAGGCACTTGGGTCTCATTTCCTGATGTGCTGAGGCATGCAGGAGGTGGGGAGAGAGCTGCTTGAAGGTATCTCAAGGAGCTGGGTCTGCAAATGCACTCAGTAGTGCTACTACTGCCTGTAGCATGTATTTGAACTTGGAAATACAGGACTTTGTCCTAGAAATGCCAAATCTCCCTTGCCTAAGATAGGAACATTGCTGAGGTCCTGTTATGGACCTGTTATGGGTTATCTGATGCTTTGGGAGGTCCTTCACTGTATGTGTGTGAATTGTACCAACTGAGTAGGATGGTTTTCCAGCAGGATCAGACTTGGGCAAATCCACTGTGCAGCCATGAGCAATATCTGGAGTAAGACTTTCAAAATTTTTGTAATACCTTTAGCAGTAGCAGGTTACATGGACTGTAGCACATATGTACCCTGGGTTTCCAGTTTCCTGGTAAGCCTGAGTGGATTTACTGCATAGGGGTTCCAGTCACTGCTGGACACATTCTGAAGTGCTGGGAAAACTTGGAACAATAGCTCTAACTGGGAAAAAGATATACTCAGCATTCTCTAGGAAAAATTATAGTTGGCCTATAAGTCCACCCTTGCGTCTGCACTGGTTAAAAAGCCAGTCCCATACACTTTCCTGAGTGCTGGGAAATTGTACAATTCATCAGATCTGATCCAGTTTGTAAACAAATGTTTACTGTAGACTCTCAAGAGATTACCAGCAGTCCTAGAAGGTTGCTGAGCTTGATGTGTCTCAATTTACAGAACAAATCCACATAGGATGCAGAACAGGATGTGGTTTCTCAAGCAGAATAGCAACATTCTTGAAGTTGGCTACAGGCAGAGAGAATCTTAATTTCAGTTATTGAACACAGAAGCATTTATCTGTTTATGCAACTCTTAGAAGGGAAGAAGAACATGGTTATTCTGTGTAGTCCTCTGTTGAAACATTGTAATAACTCAAGTTGTCCTTCAAACAGCAAAGTGGCAGCAAGTGTCACCTGGAAAAATTAACTACTGGGGAGGCTTTACACTCAGAAATGGCTTGACCTTGTATCACAGTCTCCTAAGCTGCACATAGAAGTCAAGGGATTTCTCTAACATCAGAATGGTATTTGTTGGGTCTCAAATGATGGGTTTTTGCAAATTAGCAATCTATCCAATGAATGCTATAATAAGATTTTTTTTCTAGCAAAACCTGCTGCCAACATTTAAAAATATCTACTAAATTATTTTTCCATTAAAACAGTCTTGTTAAAATTGTCTGTTCCAAACAGAACAATATTTTGCTGTTCTTGGTTATGTGGCTTTCCTCCTCAGATTTCTGTGAAAGCACATGTTTCACAAAGCATATCAAAGTTGTCTCATGGGCAAAAACACGTAAACATCAAAGGTGTAATTTTCTTGAAAGGCCCTGCACAATGGCTGGCCATGCTGCTTAACCACTCAGAGGCATAAAAGGAAAAGGATTTTGCAGGCACTCTAAGCTTGAGTGTGTGGAAGAGCTGAGATGAGCCTGTGGCTCTGCAGTCACCAATCAGGAAGTCACCCAAGTGCTTTTTATGTTGCAGTTTCCTCATTTGGGAGGCAGTTACTGTGTAAAGGTTCTGCTAATGAAAAATATGACACAAGGTCTACATGTGGCTGGGTTGGCCCATACCTGTTTCAGCCATATCTGCTATTATGATGCATAATCCTGGTTCATGTTCCTGGAAAAGTGCATCCTGCAGCACTGTGGGTGGGAAGTTTCTCTCTTGCACTGGCTCCACATTGAGCTCTTTCTTCTTAATGCAGCCAGTGGACTTAAGGAGGAAAAGCTCACTTCTTCCTTGCCTGGCTGTTCAGGGTGAATCATTAACCAAGCATTAGAGTGACAAACCCAAATTGTTTGTTGAGTGCCTTCTGCAGTCTGCAGGGACACTTTGCCTTCTGCAGGAGGTATGGTTTGCTTCTCCCACGGAACAAAAGCCCCACAGACTCCCTCTGCTCTGCACCGTGCTTTAACCAGACCTGCAAGTATGTATATAATAATACACAGATCTATATCTAGCTACATATATATATGTACTGAAGTATATAATCTATATTATAGCTATAGAACTTCTATATACGTATATAAGTTCTGTGTTGCTCCTGCTTTATGGGTGAGGAAAAGGGATGGTGTACATATCCTGAACAAAGAAATTAACTTTTCCTTGTACTCTTCCTTTGTAGCCTGTCGAGTCTTTTGGTGAGAGGAATGATAATCCTTCTAGCAGCACTTCATGAACGGAAATCATTCTCTAGGATGATGATGACATGCCAGTTCTTGGTATATGGACATGAGTCCTGAGATCCCACACATGGATACATGAAAGGACTGCACACTGTGCTGAAGATTGGGGAGAAGATACCCTTGAGTGAAAGGTGGAACCTTTTTTTCCTAATGGCTGCCTTGAGTGTTTCCTCCATAGATCTTTTTCCCTGTCTTGAAAACATATCCTTGGCGTGCTGGGCTGTAAATCCTTGAAGGAATAGCATGGTCTAGGTGGAAGTTGGTCGGCTTTGTCCTTTTTCCATGAGCCAAGACTGAAGAATTACTGAAATGTTGTAACTATCAATCGGGTGAGTGCTTTCATTGTAAATCTGTAAATCCTCTTAACCCCTATTTGTGAGAGATGAATGGGAGCCTGCAGCCCACCTACTCATGCCACTCCCATTCGTGTCAGAGATACAACAGCAAATACTGATTCCTTCCTATTTAATGCAAGAGCATTTATCTGCCAGTGTTCAAAGTGCATTTCCATGACATAAGAAAAACTGTCTGGATAATTAACTAATACTTTTAAAACACACCAGTTTGAGCAGATGTTCTTGTCTGTGCTTTTAACATGAATGGCCTTGATTTTGCAGCCAAGTCAGTGAGATGGCACCTGAATGCAAGGGCTTGGGTTTGTGAAGTTTTGCAGAATGGTGGCCTGTATTTATATTTCTCTCAGAAACTCTCCTTATACTGCACACAAACTTCATTCTGAGAGTTTTACTGAGACAGCACATTCAAGCCTTCATTATTAGGGGATGTCTGCAATGCCATTGTCTGTTTGACATTAATTCTTCTATCTGTGCATTTATGTATTGTAATTGCCCTGATTTGTTTGGTCACACTTTGTCTTCTGCAGTGTCCTCGTGCTGTTCAGCACTTGTAATGCTGGCACTGAACCTGGGCTGTGTGGCAGATAAGGCTGTCCTCTATCAGAAAAATATGGGAATATATGGAGATGTCAGAAGGAATGCTGGTCTCTCCACTCACCCTTGGCTCTGTAATTTCATCATCCAGCCATGGAGGATCTGTGCAGGCACACCTGGCCAAGGTAATGGGTGCAAGCTGCAGCTCTGCAGGAGACAGGGACTTCTTGCCCACAGCAGGAACAGCAAGTAACTGCAATTCTCAAAAGTCTTTACTGAGTCCTTAACTGCAGTATTTCCTTGCCCTGTAATCTGGCCCAATTTAGGTAGGTTTTAATAGGGATAGACATGTTTGTACCACAAAGGTCACCTCTCTGCCAAATTTGAAAATTTCTCTTCTGAAGCTAGAGATCTTCATATAAAATGTTGCCTGGATTTATTTAACATGTGCCAAGCAGTATATTTTTCCTTTAATAATATTCCTGGAAATGGCTGAACTGTTTTGGCTAAAGCAGATGCCGGACTGTTTGAAATTAAATTCTCAGTGCTAAAGTTTGGCAAAGTAGAGTAACATGCCATTTTGTTGACACTGAGGAAGGCTGAGCACCATGGCAGGGAGGGGAGGTGGCACTGCTGGTCAGCAAACCAAGGAAACCAACAAGTGCTGCTTTTAGGAAACTGCCAGCTTGATGCCAGTGAGGAACATCCCTGGGCTGCTGCACTCTGAGTTTTGTATGTTCACCTTAAATGATGAATACAGAAACCCAGAGGCATCAGTGCTACTTTCAGCTACCTTGAACTGCTTATATATGTAGTTTAAATCACCCAGGCTCCTTTTCCCCACCTGGGCTTGTATTGCAGTATTGCTCCTGGGCTTAAGGCTGGATCTATACATGGAATCTATAGTTATGTATTGCAGTTTGGCCTGAAGTAATTTGTATTGCCAACTAGGTACTCTTTTTTCCACCTTGGAAGTCCATCTGCAGAACCCCTCTGTGCCAGACAAGAGTGTCCCCCACAGATGTTTCACCATATAGTTACACCTTTTGTGTTATAGCCTTACAGGGCTGTGATGTGAACCAGGACAAGGTTTGGTTCTTATGTGCTCTGTGCCCTGTCTCCTTTCTCTGTATTTTAGGACTCAAGCAATAGGGACATAAAGCTCCTGTTCTGCTTCCTGGTTGTATATGATGCTTTATGACATGAATGGGCTGGGAAAAGCTCTGGCACACCGTACCAAGTTGGCTTTGTCTCAGACAATACTATTATTTTGGGGGTAGACACAAAGTTCCTATCTCTAGAATTTAATATAGGAATGACTGAACAAACCTGTTACACTCTAAAAAAATGTGTGTCCATTTACCTCAGCATCTCAAGTTGGATTTTCATGCCCTTTCCAAGTTCTTGCTCTGCATGTCCTTTCCATGCCCTCACTTACTACTCAGACTTCTTTTTTTTTAAATTATACTGGTACCAAAGCATGGGCCCAGCACTTCTATGAACTGCAGAGCTGTGAATATCTGTTTTTATGGATCCAATGTGTGCATGCTGAGGTTTTGGGCACAGGGTACATCAGTGTTGGAGTGAGGCTAATAATAGCCTCTAAAGATAATTTGAGAATTTGCTTACCTTTCCAGGGAACAGGACATGTCTTTGTATTTCCACCTTCAGACATACAACCCACTTGTGGGCTTGACTGCATAGCAAATACAGTATGAGAGTCATCCTTGCTTATGTAGATTTTTATTTTCTTCCTCTCCTTCATGTTTTGCTTTGCCCTCTCAGTAGCTTTCTGCCTGTTTTCTCTGAGGCTAGTGATTTCTTGGCAAGTTATTGTTCATAACCAAGGAAAGGTGGTGGGTAAGCAGCAACTGCTGCCTACGGTAGCCCAAGCTGACCCTGCCACTGCTTTGGTAGGAGAAAGAAGCTGTTTCAGAAGAGCGCAGCTGTCCTGGGCTTTGTGCACACAAGGACTGCTCAGAGCAGCCCCTTGACCCCATGCTGGCTGGGTGACCTCTGCCACTCTGACTGATAACAGTGATGGCAGTTTGTGTTGAGGCTTTGTTCTCTGCTTCTCAGAGAGAAACATTAAACTGCAGAGTGACTAAGTGCCTTCTCAAAGGCTACGTAATGAATCAGTGAATGAACAACTCCCAGCAGCTCCAGGCCCCCTTCTCTCTGCAGAACAATGCCTTTCTCCCTGTTTGAAGATGCACATGCAGTATAGGTTGCATACAGAATAATGTATTTCAAAAGAAAGTTGAATATTAATATTTATTCCGAACTGATGCCACTGTCCTCTAGGCTCTGTAAATAGCAGCATCACAACAATGTGGATTATTCCTTTTATGCAAACCCTGGCCAGTGAAATAGCTTGCCAAAATAAAATTGCTGCACAAAAGTTTGACAGCTACATTCATTATATATGTCAATCAAAGGCTCCTAAAGGCTTTATTGTCCCTGTACAGAGTCTGAACAATCTGCTAGCCCAATATGCTGCAAAGCTATTTTCTCACTACTCCTTCCATTTAAAAAATAGCCACCAATAACTTTTGACAAACCATCTAACAAAACTGCATGAGCAGCAAGGGAATCTTAGATTTTCTTGGGTATCTGTGGGCTGGAGCCTTCCACTCACTGGGCTCTGTCACATGTCACAGTAGATGAGATCTGGTCAGAAACACGGAGTCCTAAAATTACTCCCCAAAACCCAGGCAGGCTGGGGTCGTGGGGAGGGCATGGGGAATAAGGGAGGGAAACTTATGCAAAACAAAAACTAATTAAATCATTTTTGGTGAAGGCTTTTGGTTGCTTTGCCAGGTATCAGCCATGCAAGCTCCTCTGTCCCGGGTCTCCTCCAGGTTAGGCTGGGCCCGTTTTGATGAGCTCTCGCCCTCAATTACAGCTTGGGAGAGTGGGGTATGTGTATTTCGGTTCGATTCCCTTTTTCCATGGCGCTCGCTCCTGCCGGATCGCAGCTGGGGCCGTGTCCCGGGGTGGGAGCGGGGCCGTGTCCCCGGCCGGGAGCGGGGCCGTGTCCCCGGCCGGGAGCGGGGCCGTGTCCCCCGGGAGAGCGGGGCCGTGTCCCCGGCGGGGAGCGGGCCGTGTCCCGGCAGGCGGGTCCGGCCCTCCCCTCAGGCCGGGCTGTGCTGCAGTCAGGCCCCGGCGGCCGCGGCCCCTGAGGCCGGCGCGGCCCGGCAGCCGCGAGAGGGAGCAGCCGGCGCCGCCCGGCTCCCACACAGCCCTCATCCTCCTCATCCTCCCCTGGTGAGGCCCCGTCTGAAGTGCTGTGTCTGGGCTGCTCAGGACTAGAGGCACATGGAGCCCCTGGAGCGGGTCCAGCCGAGGGCAACAAAGGTGATTAAGGGACTGGAGCATCTCCCATATGAGGAAAGGCTGAGGGAGCTGGGCCTGGTCAGCTGTGAGAAGAGATGCCAGAGAGGGAACCTCATCAAAGTCTGTCAGTATCTGAAGGGAGAGTGCCAGGAGGATGGATCCAGGCTCTGCTTGGTGTCACCCAAGAATAGGACAAAAGGCAATGGGCAGAAACTGATGTACGAGAAGTTCCACCTGAACATGAGGAAGGATTTCTTTACTGTGTGGGTGATCAAGCACTGGAACAGATTGTGTGGAGAGGTTGTGGAGTCTCTCTCTTTGGAGGTATTGAAAAGCTATCTGCACACATTCTTCAATAACCTTCTTTGGGGAACCCTTGCTTGACTGGGACTTAGATGACCCCAGTGGTCCCTTTCCAATCTTAACCAGTCTGTGAAAGCGTAACATTGTAATCTTGTGCCATGGCAGACCATACTAAATCTGATTTATGAGGGTGTCATAATTTACCGTCTTTGTTCTTGGCTGGAATTTAGATTATGTTTCACAATTCAAAATATTTTGGAAGTTGATTGTTTCCTCTAAGTGCTCAGCTTGGTTCTTGGTGTGTGCTGGTGTGTGCCTTTGCTCTCAGCCCCTGGTCATGCAGCAGCAGCAATACCTCAGGATGTTACTTCCTGCACACACATCTGCCTGTGCCCTTCTGACAGCTGTTTTTGGGATGACATGCTGCTCTTGGCCTGTGCTAAAGGGCTGACCTGAAAGTGTGAAGAATAGCCTTGCTCTTGTGTTTGGGAGTGAGCCATGGGGATGCTCTGTGAGGAAATATTGCAACAGGATTGCTGATCGTGACAACTAGTGTTTCTACTGAAAAAGCCTGGTGAAGAAATTGGAAAAATGGAAACTTTCAAAGAATTGAGGTGTTAATTCATGTGCTGAGAAAGCTGTGCTGCCCACTCACCATCCCAAAAACTGTGTGACATTTCCCTGAGGTGCACTGCTTGCTGCTGCATCATGGGTATGTGTTTGATCACAGGCAAAATTAAACGTGCTTTTGTAATCAGTGGACTCCACAAGTAACTTCAAGATACATGGGAGTAAAAAGA